AACACTGCTTTTGTGCTCCAGGGTCACATATGTGTAGATAGTCAAATCCTGGTATAATGGCACTGTCTAGTCGAACCTTTAACCTTATGAAGCCTATTATATCATATTTGATACATTAATTTCTAAGGCCTCTAAATTATCATCATGATCAAAATTTGGCTAAATAGCCTGCTGTACAAAATATTCTACATGCCTTCTGTTGCCTCATTGATAGCTTTTTACAAATCCAAAGGCTTTTTGGCCATATGAATATCAGCTACTGCACTATATTGCATATGACACCTCTGAATTAATCTGAGGTGTTTTTCCTCCGTGAAGATGAGCTCCGTATTGTCACTATATCATACTATATGAGCCATAAAAGCCTGGTGTGTAAAAATAATACAAAACATAACACATATGCAAACTCTTTTAGATTTTCTTTTGAGTTTACAGTTTTACATTGTGTATAAAGGTTCAATTACCTGTTCCATTTAAACATACAGTCAAACCAAAAATTATAAATATAATATTTGATTTTTTTTTTTTTTACTAGTGGGTGCAGAACACTATAGTTCATTTACGTAAGCGAGGATAGCAACATAAAGTAAACTGTGACATATTACACCCAAAAATTCTTCATACGGTGGACTACCAGTAAAACTAATAAACAATTTGGAGCCAAAAATTATTCAGACACTTTGACCTGACCATGTTTTGCTTAAGTGTTTTTTCTTTAATTGCTAGTGTGACCTTTTTACACCACAGCCTGAACAACATTAAGCATTGCTTGGTAATCGGCTGACCTAAATTGGTATTAATTGTGCACTTAAATTTAACAGCTGGCAGCTATTCAACCGAATTCATTACATACCTTTCTATCAAAGTTATCTGACATTATCAAGATGAATTTGTTCTGAAACAGTTTAACTCTGAGCTATTGTCATATTTTATTACCATTTTCTAAACTATAGCGAATACACTGTGATAATGCGAGAAATGTTGAAGGTGTCTGAATAAATTCTGATTTGACTGTACATCAATTTATACCAGCAAAACTGTGTGTTACCAGTTAAATCAGGCAGAAATAGCTCCTTAAGGTAATACTTGCAGGTCACCACTTTTTTACATTGTGGTTATAAATTGAATGTGCAACAGCAAGTCAATGGGAGGTTTTAATATTGTAATCTTTTTATTATTATTATTATTATTTTATATTATAAATGATAGCAGATGTAAAGGCTAGAATTGAGGCTATACATTATGCAGTTTGGACTTAATTAATAGTAGATGTTTAATACTTAACATTAGGGGTTTATGTAGAAATTTTGAGGAATATAAAAGTTCTGCCTTGTAGTACCATACAACTTCATAAATAGGTTAAAGTAAATTGCTGAATTGTCTTATTTGATCAAATTGATTTACTCGCTCAACACAACAAAGCTGAATGAAGGAAGGGGGAACTCACATGTTAGTGTTGGCAGTAGAGGTCAGCCACTCTCCAGCTAAACCAATGATGTCTAGACCTGAAGACAGCTGGTTAAAAAACCTTGGGTGACCTACAGAGAAGGAAAGAAAATGAGACACTAACACCATTTGTATATGCATGCACTCTTAAAAATAAAGGTGCTTCACGATGCCATAGAAGAACCTTTTTGTTTCTAAATGGTTCCATAAAGAACCTTTAACATCTGAAGAACCTTTCTGTTTCACAAAAGCTTCCTTGTGGCGAACGAATGTTCTTCAGATTATAAAAAGAATGGTTCTTCTTTGGCATCGCTGTGAAGAATCTTTTAAGCCCCTTTATTTTTAAGAGTGTGTGTTACTATAACATTTTGAAACATTCATTAAATGGGACGAGCAGGTGAGGGTCACCCGTGCGGACGCCGTATTTGAGCGTGTCCCTGCAGTCCACCAGGATCTGCTCCAGACTCTCCGGCTGATCACACAGCTCTAAGTTGAAGCCCTCCATTCCCTCCAGCAGCTGGTGCGGATGATGGAAGTCCAGCACTTTTGTGGATCTGTCGAAGGTCTTGCGCACATAGTTCGTGAGGATCTCCACCACCTCCAACAGGAACTGCATCGTATACTCCTCACCATTTTTAGCAGGAAGCAGATCTGTGACCAAAGTTGTTACACAGATTCTTCAGTAAATCAAATTGCTGCTTGTTCTTACAGTTTCCTTCATTCATAGAAAAATATGTCATTTACACATGCTGGTGAAAGAGAGATTTTTCTCTCGTTTTAACGTTTTTGAAAGTCTCTTGTGCTCACCAAGGCTGCATTTAATTGATCAAAATACAGTAAAAACCTTAATATGAAATATTATTACAAACAACTGTTTTCTTTTTGAATATATTTAAATGCAATTATTCCCACAATGTCAAAGATGATACCATTCAAAAGTTTGGGGTAAGATTAAAACAAATAAGTAATAATAAAGAAAATAAATTACTAAAACTGTTTTGAACATTTATAATAATAATAAGAAACATTTCTTGAGCAGCAGATCAGCATATTAGACTGATTTCTGAAGATCATGTGACACTGAAGACTGGAGTAATGATACTGAAAATACAGTTTGATCACAGCAATCAATTACATTTTACAATATATTCACATAGAAAACTTTAAAAATTTTAATAAATGTAATAATATTATTAATAATGTTTCATTCTCTCCTAAGAGACTTCCTTCAAAAACATTTAAAAATCATAATGATTCAAACAGTTTTTCTTTGTATGAGTGGAAAGCAGAATATAAAAAATAAAAATAATGCTACATAAATGTCATAAATCATTCACATAAATGTAAATCACTTTAATATATATATTTGTTTGTTTGACAACACTGACAAACTATTTTCAGGCAAACACATGTATAGACCAATCATTTGTTTTAACATCAAAATTCAAATTCTAAATTTCTATTCATTCTAAAGTTCATTCATATTTAACTGCATATCAGATGTACATAAAATATAAAGAATCCCATTGCAAATTCTATTATAAGTTACAAGTATATAAAAAATATTATATTGTAAAATATTTTATTCAATAAAATCATTTTGGCAAACACACACACACAGAAACCGGACGCTTAATCTTTGAGTTATGAGAGTTATGATCCGGGGATTATTGGCACTCACCTCTTGCGTATAGATTGGAGAAGTCCGTCTCTGTGCGTCTGAAGCGAGGGTCTCGTGTTAAAATGCTCCTGGGCTGCTGTTCGTTAAAAAACCCGACAATTCGGCTCTTGTCGTCAACATTATTGTTCTTCTGCAAAAATCCTGTATTATTACACAGAGAAGAAGACTGAAATGAGCTGCCTCCGTTTCCCCCAAACATTGCAGCAAGTACTTTAACACAGATGCAATGCCTTTAAACGCGCGCAGTGTCCGGCTCATGTGTGTTTCTGGCACAGCACAGGTGATCTGGGGGAGGTAACAGTGATTTAGATGGACTGTAGATGAACCCTCGACACCACTGAGCAGATCATGTTAGGGACCAGACCGCAGTTTATAAATGCTAGGTAGCCTATGCAAAATAATTAATAGGCTAATAAAAATAAATCAAATCAAAACGTATTTTACTTTAATTTCGTAGCTTTTCAGGGTGTTTAAAAACAGCAACAACAAAAGATACCCGAGTGCAGAATTGACATCACACTGCTAGGCTACAGAGGAATTATTACAGCATGCACAAAACAACTGCAGCACGCGCTTTCCATCCGCATATGAACGCCACTGCAGATTATTATATTGTGTCTTCTGCAGCTTCCTCGTTGTCCTCTTCCTCATCTTCCTCAGCTGATGTGGGATCATTCAAGCGGTGCATGGCTCTTCTTCTACCACATATCAAGTAGCCTATGCCAAATGAACCTAATAGGATATATCATAGCTAATATATATATATATATATA